AAAAAATCTTTTGAGTTATGATCCAGTGCCCTGCCACAGAAAAGAATTAATTTGTTTTGTTTACCAGGAAATTTTTTGTTTCCTTTTCAAACTTCTATTTGTTGTTCTTCCATCAGTTGAGCAGCTTTCAAAAGTTAAGATGAAAGATTATTACTCATGAGTTTTCAGTATTAGGAAGGAATATGTTTAATTTTCTTGAAAATACTGAACATAAGCCTTTCTGAAAATGGATGAGGGTTTTATGACAGAGGTTGGTGAAATCAGAAGGGAATACTTTTTTAGTCCCTATTTTTGTCTTTGTGGATAGTTCAGTCGGGTTCAGGTGACTTTTTACAAGACATTGACTGCTGCCTCCTGTCAGTACCAAGACAACTGTCCCACACTCCTGCAGTCTTAGAGCTTTTGCCTAAGGCTTGTAAAATGCCTTTCCCTTACTGTGCATCTGGAAAATCAAACTTTTGGCAAGTTAAAATAGTTTGGCTTTCCAGGTAGGAAAAAAAAAAAAGGACAGCATAATTAATATGAATGTTTTAAATATATTAAAAACATTCACCTCCTTTTGAGATGGATGACTATTAAATATGTGCCATTTTGGGATTTGCCAAAAAGTCTCTGAGGGATATCTCACGTGTTAATGGCTTTTGGCTTTGCCATGTATGGTGATGAGAAAATTCCAGGAAAGTTTATGCTGCCAAATATTGCCTGGCTCAGAGGACTGAGAATGGTTGGGGTGGTGCAGGACAGCTTTCAGCTAATGGGGTGGGAATCTACAGGTCTTTTCCAGCTTGATGGAATGGGAGGAGAAGAAAGGAACAGCCACACACCAAGCTGAAGATAGATCTTTAAAAATCCAGAGCAAGATCTGTAAAAAGAACTTCTTAACAAGTGCTATTGTTTTTAACAACAGTTAGGAGCAGTGAATTTTACAGCTGCCACCATCAAACCAGGTCATGTCATGTCCTGCACAACCCTCTCCATCCCAGGCAGCTCCAGGACTAAAGGACATGGACTGAAAAGAAAGGTGTGATGTGAGGTTCTGTTGATACACCTGGAGCATCCTTGCAAAACAGGTGGCACAGGGACAGAGCAGCAAAATCCTTTCAGGCACATGGACTTGAGCAGGCTCTGGAGTTGCACCAGCTGGGACCCTTCAGTGCATCTGGCCAGAGAGGTGGAAGATGGAGAGCTCATGGTTTTCAGGAAGCACGATGGTTTGGGAGCAGTGGAGTGAGAAGAGAGGTTCTCTGATTGCCCCTGGCACAATGTACCACACTCCTGAACTCCAGCCAGGGGGTGCAAGCAGCCACAAGCAATCTGAGAGAGAGAGGTCTGTGGTTATTTTACATTAACTTGCATTACAGGACAGTATGGCACTTGTGTTCATCAGCTTTCAGCTGAGGATTGAGGCTGGCGTGGCTAAAGACAATATAAAAGTTTTCCCTGTAAAAATCCTGTAATTGAAGATCTCAAAGCATTTTACAGGCATTAATAAGTAAAGCCTCAAATACAGCTACCAGTATTTCAGTCCCTAAAGTTCACCAGTGCTTGTAAGTGCTGTTAAAATAATAACAGTTGTATCAATGCTCTTGCAATCCCAGAAATATTAATGGCATCTTCCCTGTCAACAACCTCCCCTCCTCCAGGCTCCACTTTCTTCTGATGGGCAGAAGCAAAATTTTGCAAGGCAAGAGCTTGCTAGGGAGTTTGGGTCATTTGGGATTTTGCTTTTGTGGGTTTTTGTGTGTGTCCAAGGCAGGGCACCAGCCCACTGGAGTGCTTTCTTGTGCTAAGAGGTGTTCTTCCTGATGTCTAAAACATTTGGATGGATGGTTTTATTTTTTTTACCTTTCTTACTGGAAAGTGTTTGTGGTCACAGACAACTAATGAAGAGAACAAAGGAGAGACAATGTTGTAAAATCATTAGAAAAGGTAAGCACTGTTCAAACAAATGCATTTTGCTATTAAAGTGCCATTTTCAGTCTTATTTGCAGCCCCTACTGTTCCTTACACTGGCTCTTCACTGGGGACAAAAAATTCATTAAATGGCTCTTCATTTTACAATATCAATATGTTTTAAGTCAAATTGTGCATTCTTTGCTGTTAATTCTCTTTTAAACACAAAGGACCATCAGAAAGTTTAGCTGCAGGGGGGCTACAGGCAAGAAGGAAGATACAAACATTCCTCTTGTGAGAAATAATAATAATAATGAATTCTTTTAGAGTTTAAAGGAAAATAGTGGCTTTTTTGCACCAAGACTGTAAGACCTGTTCATTGATCTTTTCAAAGAAGCAACAACAATAAGGAGAAATGAGAATGAAAGGAAATGAAAGCAAGGGAATAAAAGCTATGAGGAGTTGGGGTACATGGAAGCAACAATCCAGAATCTGACAGAATATGTGGATATTGATGAAGCCTGGGATGCAACATAGATGTGATACCAGGAAAAGTCCTGGCTGTATTACTTGACTGTTAACTTTGCTTAACCACCAAGTATTTTTATTGATAAACCCTTTTCTTTCTTTTTTTTTTTTTTTTTTTAATTCAAAACACTGCTCATCTCATTTGTCAGACTACTCACAGCTCGTACAGTTTTCTGAGTGGATTTATTCTGTAAGTCTTAGCTGAAATAGGACCTTGAATATTTTGCAGAAAGCCAACCTTTCACCAGGATCATGGTGGAAGGGAGACAGATGTGCTGCCCCAGTGGAACACAGAAGTTTTGTGGTAGAAGTTTGTGGTTTGAATAAAATTGAGCAACTAATGATTTGTGCTATGAATGTGTGTGCTGGAATGTTTTAATCTACAAGTGACAAGTGGTTCTCCTGACAATCAGTGTAAGGGGCAGAGTGCCCATAGCACAGTGTCTAAACAAAACTTTCAGCAATACCCACAGCAAGAAAGATAGAGAGAACCTAGTGAAGAGGTTTCTACACACTCTGGAGTTATGCAATTTTAATTAAAAATGTATTTGTTTTGTTTAAGCAGAAGGGAAATGAGAAGGATCATTGAAAAGTTAAATTTGCTGTCTTTCCAGTAAAATAGACCCAATCTGTAATATTTAACCTAAAAATCCCATCTGAACAGATTTTTTACATTTGATGCATACTTGGTAAATTCCAGGTGTCTGATTACACCTGGTCTTCTAGTAGGGTGCAGAGCAGGGCATCTCATACTGGACAAAATGTTTGCCCAAGTTCAGAAAGCAAACTATTCTGTGTGGTTTTGGTGCAGGACAGGCATCAAATTCATCTCTGCCATGATAAGTAAAATGATGAGTAGAAACAATGTTCTGACTGCTGGTTGAAGGAGAGGAGCACTGCTGAGGTGAATCCACATTCCCAGGCATCTCCTTGTGAAGCTCCATAAACTCATTTGGAGGGGAGATTTCCCTGGCCTGATCCATCAGTGCCACAATTCTGAAAAACAAAGGAAGTTCAGCGTGGGGAAACGTGCAGCACTCTGGTTTCGTGGTTGTGGGGTCACCAGCAGAGAGAAGCAGCAAAGGCTGAGCCTGAGCCTGGTGGGGAGGAAATGCCAGCACTGTCCATGATTGCTTCCAAGAGGGTGGAAGCCATGGAGATGTCCAGCAGATGTGTGCAGGAGCCAGTCTTGTTATCATATGACTGGGAGTTTAGGCTCCTGTTGGGCACAACCCAAAGTAAGTCCTGGAATAAGACAGATGATGAACTTGGGCTGTAAAATCCTCCGTGTTCCTCTGCCATTTTGGCCAGTGATCCTGTACCATATGTCAAGTGGGCTGCAAATTCCCATAAAGCAGCAGTTTGCTACACTAGACCTATAACAAGGGAGGTTGTAAAAGGAATAAATGGCAAGTGGAAGGTGGAAATCATGCCAAATGTACAGCACAGGCTTATTAACAGCAGCACAGCAGCCAAAGGGAGGCAAGAGTTGCATATGGGAGTGGGACTGTGCATAGGAAAAATGGAGAGTGGCAGTACTTCCAAAGGGTTTTTCTTCTCTTTTTGCCACTTCTGAAATACTTTAGACATTCTGGGGTTTTGGAATGAGAGCTTTGTCTTTGTTTTTGCAACTGTGTTTTTCTATTTCTATATAGAAGGCAAATCTGTTATTTTGCTCCTTTTCTTTACTGAATCCTTGCACTGCTAAACCACCTTAGGTGTTGTGTAGATATAAGCTGTAATCACAAGATCACAGCATCATAGAATGGTTTACGTTGTAAGGTAAATAAAAATCATTCTGTTCCAGCCCAGTCTGCAGATGTGAGCCTGGAAGGGCCAAAATAATGAGCCCTCTTAACAAGACCTGTTTCTACTGTAGGAGAAACAGTCCCAGGTATCTCCAGCAAGGTCCAGAAATGTTGATTTTTATAATGGGAATTATTATAACTTACAATGGTCCCATAGGCTAAGTACTGTTTATTGAAAGCTTTTTAACTCAGTGAATTCTATTTTGCCTAAATCAAAAAGTCTTTAGGGAGCAGATCAATTTTTAAAAAAATGTTATTTGTAAATTTAGAAATGTTTTTACTGTGACTTTAGCAATGCATTTCAAATGGTTATTTCAAACTCTCTTTTCATTTCTAAGTAAAACCAGGATGCAATATTCAACTTGTCTGAAATAAAACAGTAATTTGTAACAATTTCATGTTAACAACTTCATTTCCCAGGAATAATTTAATCATTGGTGGGGAAGGGAGGCTGCTTTTCACATACTAACTAAGCCCACAGTTTTCAGTGTTGGAAATTCTGTCAGAATAAAAATTCATTTTGATAGATTTGGAAAGTTATTGGGGTTGGCTTCCATGTTTAGACTATGCTTTTTTTCATTTGTCAACATTTCTTGAAAAAGACTGCATTTGTGGCAAAATTATGATTGAGGACATTACTAAATTTCTCTGCAGAATTCAAGACTTCAATGTATAAGGACTGTAATAACTGACATGATAAGGCAGGAGCTGTTTAAGTGGTGTGTGTTCCATGTGCATAAACAAAGAGCAGATCCCAGGAAAGCTGCATTTAAACACCAGTGATGTTTGCTTGAGGATGAAAATGTAGAGTTAAAACCAGTTCTATTCTGTCAAAACTACGAAAAAAAAAAAAAGACAACAAAACACAAAACAAACAAACACACACAAAAAAAAAAAGAAACCAAAGAGCTCTTCCTGATTAAATTTAATCCTGTCTGGCCATAATTTGTTAGCCTTTCTCCTGTTGAGTAATATTTGATTGATTTTACTGAGGCACTTTAAAAGTACAGTTCAGTTCACTGATACTGCTGGTTGAATTTCCTCAAAGAACACACTCTTATTTTAGTCACGTTTTACTGATGGTTCCTCTATCTCACACCAGCACTAAAGAAGGAGCTGTGTGTAATCTTAAGTGTTTGCACATTACTGGACCTAAAGACATAACTTCCTACCTGCCTGTACCCGACAGAATAGCAAACCTGAGTAGTTTAGACAAAATCCATGAAAAAGAAAGAATAGATCAGAGAAATCACAACAGGGGCTGAAAGAAAAAGGGGACAGAAAAATCCATTAAAAATGAAAATAATAAATTCTCTTAAACTTTGAGGAAAAAATAGAGTCTTGTTTTGTACAAAGATAGTGAGATGTGTTCATTGATCTTTTTAAGAGTCAAGAAGAAATTGGCCAGCAGCTGAATAAAAGAAAATGAAGTTCCCTTAATACAATCCATGGAAAGACAACTCAGGTAAATTGATCAGTGCAGCACAGATAATTTCTAACCTTTCCGTTCTTCAGAGAAGATGTTTGGGGTTTTGTTCTGATTGTTTTTCTTCCCTCCCAAAGAGCATAAAAAGCACACAGCACCAATTTCAAGTGATTTTTGGATGGCTTTTCTAGCAATAACTGGAGAATTTCTGGAACTAAGCATGGTAATGGCTTTTCTTCCATCTCCCTTCATCACACCCTCACTGTCTTGAAAAATATCGATACACTGAGAAAGTTTGAGAGATTTTTTTTTTCCCACTTTTTTTTTTTCCAAACTCTCAATTACTTCTCTTTCTGCCTCCACCTTCAAAGAGATTTTTGAACATTTGGCAATTAAAAAAAGGAGTTATTACTCTGATACCAGGGAAATCTCATACTAACTGATGTGCAGGAAGAGCCCAAAGGCCAAAAGATGTTTAGTCCTCACCAGTCCCGGCTACAAGCCTGGCCCTTTACCTTGAACAAAAAAATCTCCTGCCTGTAGAAGTGGCAGGGCTTTCATTTGCATTCTTTTTTTTAAGCTAAATGTCAGATGTCATTGCAGGAGAATGTTTGAGGCCTGAAACTGCTGCTACACAGCTGCAGCATGCTTTATCCAGAGGAATTATGCTGGAAATAGGCTGAAGGCCCCAGCTTCCCTCCTTTTTAAAACTAAATATCCCCAGCTCCCAGAAATGTGAATAAGCAACAAACTTGTTTATGGTAAAATAAACCTACAAACTCCAGCTATTTGGAAATATTTCTTTTCCAACTCTGAAAAGATCTCTGAAAATCAAATGCATGCAAGCCAAACTTGGCACTTGGGATTTGGGAGCTTCCCACAGCATCAAGTGCAAATCTAAAGCTATTCTAATTTTGCTAACAGGGATAAAATGCTGTTATTTGCATGTTAGCCACAAAATAACAATTAGAGTGTGGCAGTTAATGAAAGAAAAGAAGCAATGCAGCACCTTTGTGAGTAGGCTGTAACCCATGTTTATAGAAAAAGCTTTGTAGAGTACCCCTGGGTTCTGCAAATGAAATGGGCCTTTGCATATGCTTCATAATTGTCAAAACATGAGGCTTTGTAGTCACATACCCAAAATACACTCCATCTTATAAAGCTGCATCACATAACCAGCAGCATCATCATTTTCTTCTCCGTGAGCAAGTTGTTCCTCACCCTTGGGGCAGTGCTCATTCAGGTCAGGTATGAAGTTACGTGAAGGGCAGTGTGGGAAAGATCAAACTACACCTGCCTGGATCACACCAGCTCTGCTAATAAAAAGGAATATTCCCTGCCTGTCTTGAACACAGAAATACTTACTAAGATCTTATACAGAATGGGAAAATGTTCCACAGAATGATTGGGTACTCTGCAGAAAAGTGCTGGAAATAAATCATTATCACAAATATTCTAATCCAGACAGCTCTCTGACACAGCTTTCACTGCATGCAAATATTTAAGCTCATGCTTAAGTTTGTTCTGATGTCCCATCGCTGGACCTGCAGAGGCCATTATTAGTGATTCAGACCAGGATAATATCCACTGACAGATAATCATTGTCTGTTCAGAAACTTCTCCTTTTACAGTACAGCTGGCGTCTATAAGTGGGGCAGGGAGATTTGGACAGTGTAAAGGTGTTTTTTAAGAGGAAGTTTATAGTAAACATCAGCAATCACCTTTTGAGTAAAATCAGCAACAAGACAAGACTTTCCTTGCTCCAGTATAGAAAAGGATGAATCAATTTCACTGTCCTTTATTATTTAAGTTACCCCTGCACAGAATTGTTCATGAATCTTTCAATTAAAATCCTAGGATATGTTCTAAAAGCTTCTAAAAAGTTATTTTCAGTTTTAATATTACTAAACATAAATACACATACTCTAGAAAAGTAAATGGATCAATTAAAGGAAGTGTTAAATGAGGATTTATAATTTTCATTCAGATGAAATCAGCCTGACTTATACCATGAGGATGTCACATCACACAGTCTTCTTGATGTGTCTGCAAGGGACACACAAATAAAGAGATTCATTTCTTCACAAACCCAGTGAACTTCAAATTTTACAAGGTTGTGTGAAGTCAAAGTCACGAGGGATTTTGGGAGCTAAGATCACACGGAAGATGTTTTATTACATGATGGGAAAACTGGGAAAAACTGAACTTTCAACCTTTTTTGTGAAAGCATATGAATACAAAAATCAAGCTGATATACAATAGCAACTAATCATCAAGAAAGACAATTGTTAGTGACTTGTGAAAGAAATCACCAACAGATAAGAAACAATTGGAAAATATTACTGGTTTTCTGCATCTACTGCATTTAAGTCTGGAAAGCAATTTTACTCAGAGAGGTTTACGAGACAATCAGAGGTGTTAAACAAGAAGGAAATCAGGTCTTCACCTCTCTTGGTTTTTAGGAAGAAAGGAAAGAGTATGTTGGTTAACACTGGGGGACCTTTCCTGCATAGCACAAGAAATAAAGATTTAAGTAATGGTGCCATCTGCGACAAGCACCAGGAGAAGCCAGAACCAGGGGAGAAAAATGAATTTGTGGCCTCTTGGAACTCTTTTCCCTCCAAGATACCTCTGCCAAAATAGTTCAGTTTACCTCTGAGTACCTTGCCAAAGCCAGGAAATTATCAAGGCCTTTCTGAAAGTAAATTTCATGCATACTGTGGGTAAATGCACAGATGAAGATAATGCTGAGGGTTGGGCACTGGTGATGGAAAAGGTCTTCTGAGCCCTGCAAAAGTGGAAGAATTTTTCTTCCCTTACCACTTGCTTGAGCCATGCCATCAGACACATCTCTAGCCAGACAATTCCTGATTTGGACCTGAGTGTAAGATATGCTACACCAGTCTACTTGTTAATACTACAACAGATAGTTTTTTACTTCCCCTCTTTCCCCACAGTGCCTGGCAGCCTTTCCCCTTCCCTAGTTAAGGAGATGGGAGTTCTGGACTGCTTCTCAGATAAATTGCTGTAGATTCATCATTCTCCATCTCTGTCTTGAAGAAGCAGTCTCACATGTGATGTTAATCTTAAAACCATATTCTACAGAATAAAATTCCTTGTGAAAGCTCTCCCTACATCATTATATGTTAGAATGACAATATTAATCATCCAATGACATTTGCATACCTACAGCCATCATTCCCAAAATCCTCAGATTTTTTTTTTTTAATGTGAAACCTGCAAGGTTTAATGAAGCTTTTAATGGACTGCATCAAACACCACCCCCAGCCCCCTCCCAGTTCATAAAATGGATATTCAGTCCTTGTTGGAAGAAACACCCTTTTATTTTGGCAACAGGTGGACTTCCTTAGAGGGGTTTCCAACTATCTCTGATTTCTGTCACTTAGAAATAGAAGTACTGCATCCAGAAGTGCAGATTTTTTTTTTTTCTAATAAGCATAAAATATGCTAAACCCATCCAAAATCTTAATCCATTTTGGTACCAGGCACAGTTACTGCAGAGCCCAGAACTCTGGCAGACATTTAAAGATGAGAAGTGTAGGTAGAGTTGTGTTAGTCACGTAGAATGAGGAGTCAAATTACAGTAAAAAGATTATAAACTGAGTTTATTTTCATTCTTTTTCCTTTTCTCAATTTACGCCACAAATGTACTACTTCTGACAGAATGTTGGTTATTTTGCCTTTTTTTCTCCTTGTCTGTTAAATTTAATAGAAAAATCCAATTATTATGTAAAGAGAGCCTTGCTATAATTGTCACAAACAAGTTAGCATAACAATGAAGAGCTACAACTTTCTGAAGTCAAAGAAAGCACTGATTTATGACTGTCTCTGAGGTGTGATTGATACAGAATGTTTTGAAGGAATATTTTCAACATTTCTTCTTCATTTTACAGCTGTTCCCTCAGATCATCCTAGCTGAAGCATGTTTGCAAAGGAAAGTTGCTTTGGAAGAGGGAACTTTTCCACAATTTCATTTTCTTTTCTTTAAAAAAGGGAAAAAAATCCCAACTGAGCCTACAAAAGCCATTATTTAAACAGCCTCCTTTTTAAAATGTTTCCGGCAGATGTTTATGCAGCAAATGTGCTGGAGCTCCTTCAGTAAGACACAGAAGTGACATTTCTTGAGGGTTTTAGCTGGAGAATTTGTCTTTCACATCATGTCTTTAAACATCTGCAAAAGGCAACAGAATCTTTATTATCCTGCTAACTTGAAGAAAGGCACAATGCACAGTCCTGAGTCCTTAAAAGATGGTATTTAATGGGGCTGACAGATGAGAAATATCCAGCTCTAATGTTTTCCTTCAGTAGAAATTCACCTCTTGACCTTAGGACTCCAGAGTATGGCTGCTGCCTTCTGAAAAAGAGCATTTCCTTCCATTCAGGTGTGCTTTCCATGGTTTTGTTGTTTTGTTTTTCCATATTGCTCAGTTATCTGCTTTAGGGGAAGGTTTCAGCATCAGGATTCAAGTAAAAATAAGAATATAAATATTGCAAAAGCACTTGTGCTAGGTCTGCTTTATGGCACTTGTGCTTCCAACCCTCTTTTAATTTCCTCAGCTGGATATTTTTCTTCTTCCTCACGAAAATCAAAGCTGCCTCTTCTTTTAAATGGATTTTGAAGGAGTGGTATAATTCAGCTTTCCTGTCCTTTGGCTTGAGTTTTGTTTATTTGCTGCTGTGCAGAAAATACAGACCAGGACCATTGCTCAGGGCTGCTCAGGCTGGCCCTTCTACCTTAAAAATAACCTTTTTAAGAAGAATCCAATCTATCTTTTGGTTTCCTGGTTTGTTTCAGACTCAGGCTGGAAGGGAGCAAGGTTTGATGGTGGGGTTTTGTATTTGGCTTCTATTGTATTTCAGTTGTCGAAGCTTTTTTCCCCTCCTCCTTCTTATTCTCTTTCTTTTTTTTTTTTTTCCTTTTTTCTTTTTTTTTTTTTCTCCCTGAAGGGTTTTCTCTGGGAAAAGTTTTCTGGGCTTCCATCCAGCCAGTGTCACAATTCACAGCTGTACTGTTTGAT